TGGGATCAAGGTAAAGATTGCAGACCGGTGCTTGCAGCCGTCTAAAGCATAAGTCCAAACCAATGCGCCCAAATAGAAAAATAGTAACTATATATGATAAATAAGTAGAGGGTTAGCAAAAACTAGAATAATCTCCAGTGAATGATTCGTCACAACCTGTATACATTTGAAAATGAGCGCAGTGGGTGGGAAGTTTACTCATAAAAAAAATTTAAATACCATATCAATATATCAATACCACTGTGGAATCTTCTCATCTAACTCTTGGTAAGTAAGCAAATAAGTACATGTAAATGTAAAACCTGTAATTCAAACGAAAGATTATGCTGTATACAGCTTTGTTATCAGCAACTACTGCATTACTATGATGTCAGTTACATTACAAAATAATTCATAATTTGTCCATAATTGTAAATCAATACAGCTAACATTTCTTTCATAATATTCTGTAATTAAGTCCCTGTTGATAGTCAAGTCTTCCTCTCTCTGCGTGCTGAACTCAGTATGATTGATGCTGTGATTTTGGCAATGACAGAAGGAGAGTTATGAGTCGGCATGGACCTCTCCTGTGATGGAGAGTCAGACTGCGAGTGTGTCAGAGGGCAGATTTATTGAAAATTCAAGAGTCCGATCAATCCCACAGCTCTGCAGGCCCGTGGCCCGCTACTGGCCGGACAGCGGAGTCGTCCTTGATTTGGCCATGCTGTGTGCGTGCTGAGCCCTGTTGTCAGCAGATTCTGGTGTTGTGGAGGTGCATACATAATTGAACTGCTCTCCTTCTCCCCCTCCTCTGCCCTCCCGAGACCCTTTGAGATAAAGCAATAAATACTCAACCTCAGCATTTAACAACCACCCTTCCCTTTTCCTGTTGCTGGCAGTTCACAAGCATGTAATTACGTTTCCTCTTTTAAGTGAGTTAAACACAGAGATACTGGCAAATACACTAGACTATGACCTTGTGTGGACACTTGGTTTGGGGGTTTTCTGGACTTTCTTGAGTAAAAATTAATGTTTTATTAATGTTTCATAGATTTCAGTTTCTACAAACAAGAATTTAAAAATTAAACTTAGCATTTTGCACAACTACATTTTCTTTCCCTATATTCTCCAGCTCATTTTCAGTTCAAGGATAACTCTTTTCATTCATTGTATCTCTCTCTGTCTTTTTGTCTCTCTATGTCTCTCTCTCTCTCTCTCTCTCCCTCTCTCTGTCTCCCTGTAACTCCATGGCTATATATAGACTTCTGCATTGCAGATGTCCCAGAGCCCTGCAGTTCTGGAGGAGCTGCTGAGGAGTCCCAGCCAAAATTTTGGCTGCCTGAAACACACAAGAGCCCAGGCGAGCAAAAACAACAGACTGACTGTAAGGCCACAGGATGGGACACTAACAGCATGACACGGCTCTACACAGTAGCAGTGTCTCATGTGCAGTTTGCTGCGCAGCACGGCTGAGCAGCGTCCGAGCCATCACTGCAGCAAGGATGAAGTGCCCCCCACAGAATAGAGTCAGAACCACTGCAGTCATAATCTTTGGGTGGGTGGGTGTGAGTGTGTGTGGTGGGGTATTCTTGTTGTCATGCTAATGTTTCTGAAACCATTTTCCCCATGTTTTCTTACATTCTTGTTTTAAAAGGACTGCTGCGTCATGGCTCTGCTTTTTAGAAGATGAAGGCGTTTTAAAACCTCAAGGACAGATAGATAAGCACACCTTCAAAAACTGCATTAACCATAGTTCAATAGATATATTTGTAATGTTTGAAGTCATGCAAAATAATTGTAATTCATTGTTCAGATGTTAGTCTGGGAAAGAGAACTTATATAATAAAGTTGGTAAACAGGTTATATCAAATATCACCAGACCAAAGAGAAAATGGCAAAGCCAGTTATTGAACAAGAGAATACTGATCAAATAGGTTTTCAGACATTAACATCAAGGTTTGATTATATGCAGCAACATCAGTTTATGTCAAAATATCAAATATTCTTTCTCACGTAATTCATCTCAAAAACTAATCAAATGGCAGGGACTATGAAAGAAAGATATACCTTAAAGGAGTGTGTCAAGTGACACATCACTGGTACTGACAGATCATTTTTGTAGGCTAATGTATGTTCTGTAGTGATGACTAAATGTGATTATCAACCTGCCACTGAAGCTAAACAAACTGAATGAAAAATACTCAAATTGCAATCAGTCTATTGGAAGGAAATAATAATATTTCTTTGCATCTGCTTGATTTTCAAGGCAAGGTTATTGAATAGCAACAAGGCAATTCAAAGTGCTTTACAGAAGATATACAAGGCACAAAGACTATTAAAGAAAGAGAGAATATAAAAGTACATTTAATATGATTTAAAAAGATTGAACTAAAATAGAAGATAAAAATAAGGTGTTAGATGACAAAGATGAAGTAGGTGAAGAGAAGCTTAGATTAGTCAGTGATTTCAGTTTACTGAACATCACCTGCAGAAGTTGATTTCATCTCTTCTCCATGTAAAGACCTGCTGAGTCATGAGTCAGCATGCACCCGCTGTGTTCACTACAGGAAATATTAACAATGTTTGAAAAACTGTATGAAGAAATGCACAGCATTTCAATAAGAATATTTTTCAACCTTAAGAATAGGCTCAGGTTTTGTAGATTGTTGTCAGGGTGAAAAAC